AGAGCACTTGCCTTGCATGCCTGAGACCCTGGGTTCGATTTCTCAGCACCACATAAGAAAAAAGAAAAAAGCCGGAAGTGGCGCTGTGGCTCAGGTGGTAGAGCGCTAGCCTTGAGCTGAAGAGCTGAGGGACAGCGCCCAGGCCCAGAGTTCAGGCCCCATGACTGGACCCCCCCCCCAAAAAAAAACAAGCAAGAAAGAAGAAAAATGTAGGAAAGGAAGATAAAATAATTTCTCTTTGCAGATGATAGGACTGTCTATATAGACAATCTGAAAACAATGACAAAAATGTCCTGGAACTATTTAGTAGGTTTAGTAGATTATTATACTAAGTCTTGAAAGTTAATGTACAGAAGTCTATTGCTTTTCTGACCAGATAAACCAGGTTTGAGGAGTCAGGTCCACTCATTGCCAGTTCTTTTATTCTGCATGATTTATTGAAGTCTGTTCATTCTCAAAAGATTTTTTTTGTATCCAAGTAAATAGAGGAGAGAGAAATGTCCACAGCTAGACTAAATTTATTGTCTTATAAAAATATTGTCTAGAAATATGGGTATATAAGCTATTTTTTAAATTGTTTTAGTGAAAAAAAGAGTATGGTAATTCACCAGCAATAAGGAAAGTGCCATGTAGAGGAATTTAAGGGAACATTTTAGCTGCCCTAAGTTTGTAGGAAATGGCCTTTGGTCAAGAAATTCACCCATTTTCTTTCTCTTAGGTCCACCAAGAAGCTATTCTTATAAATGCTTCTGAGAATATACATTATTTGGCATTGATATATTTGGTATCCTGCTTTTACTCCAAAGCATGAACCCTGTTCTCATAAAAACATCGCTGAGGTCTTAGAAGTTACATCAGATCTCATTCTCAGTAAAGCTGATGTTTTACTTTTGAAAGACATTTCCAACTTTGGACATCCTCCTCCCCACAGTATAAGAAATGCCACTTTATTTTCTCTCACACATGGGAAAGGAAGTGTGTTCACAGGTGCACCTAAAACTATTCAATCACTATCTGTACATCTAATAAATTTTATGACTGGCATTCATTTAACATTTATTAAGCAATTTCTATCCATCAGGCACGAAGCAAAGTGCTCAGTGGAAATAGGGCTTTGTGGGGTTGTTGGAGGATTAAATAATGGATGGATATTAGAATTCTCATTAAAACTAATGATGCAGCCAACCATTCCCCCCTCCCTATAAAAAAAAAAACCCTACCTTTCTTGTTAGAATACCATGTTGCTATCCATTTCATGGTTATCACAGCTGAGGAAGTGGAAATCATTAAAAGACTAAACAAATATTCAATTATGGTATGATGGAAAAAGTGACCCCAGAGTTAAAAATGGCCAGGATCAAACTTTACTTATGGTTAACCTCCACCAACACCTATCACAGTCCTATCCAGAGCAAATACCCTCCAAGTTATTATGTCTAGAAAACAAACCACCCCAAACTCAGTGTCATAAAAAATAGCCACTTAATGTTAGGTTTTTTTTCCTCTGTGTTGGAGATTAGACACAAGGTCTTGCTCTTACTAAGCAAGTGCTCTACCACTTGCACCATATCCCCAGCCCTATAATGTTTTGGAGCTAAGATCTTGTTAACTTTGCCTATACTGGCTTCAAACTCTTAATCCATCCTTCTCCACTTTCTGAGTAGCTGGGATTATTACATGTACCACCATGCCCAGTTGGCCTCTTCTTATCCCTGCAGATTCTGTGGATGCTATAAAGACAGTTTACACATGCTTCCTGACCTCTAGGGCCTCATCGTAAACTTGAGAATGTTTGGAATGGAGTTGATAGCAGGGAGCTGAAGTCACACTTAATCACTCACAGGTCCGATGCTTGACACCAGATGTCAGCCAAAATCCAAGCTGGGAACCCATACATGGCTTACCACAGAGCTAATTGAGCTTCCTTTAAGCATGGTGGCTGGATTCTAAGAGCAAGTATCCTAAAGAGAACTTGGTGAAGTCTTTGATGATCCAGCTTCAGAGTCATTCAGTGTTGTTTCTACCATTTACAAGCCAAAGTTTCAAGGAAAGGAAACACAGACTGTCACCCAACAATTCGGGGGTGGGGAGGTCAAAATCCTGTTATAAGAGTGACATGTTGGATGGAAACAGCATTGTAATCATCTGTGGGAAATAACTGCTACCCAATAAAATAAATAACAGAGTGAAGAAGCAATATTTATAGACAGGCTTTTGCCTTTGAGATCACAGGTGGTCGTCCTTTGATCTCTCCTTCAGGTTAGTCAGGGCACTAGTCACTCTTTGTCAGTGACAAGTGGATGGAAACAGCTTATGTTCTTTACCACAGGAAAAAATTAACAGAAGATCCTCATTACTTATAGATTCTGAATTTTTCATGTTCACCTACTTGCTAAATGTATTTGTGACCCCACAACCAGTACTTATGGTACTTTTCAGTGACTCACAGACAGGCACCGGGAAACAAACCACTTACGCGGCTCAGGGCTCACCTTCAGAGCTCTGTCATACTCTCCACTATGTTCTTCCCACAGTTCATTTTAGTGCTATGTTATTCTGCTCCTGGTGCTTTTGCTGGTGATCTGTCTGGGCTCCCTGGCCCCCAGGCCCAGTGTGGAAGTGTTGTCTAATTCTAGAAGGAGGAGCAGCCTGGAGAAGCAAGTACATGTGTTAGCAAAGCTTTACTCATGAGTTAAAATGTGGCTGGTCATGAATTCAGTATTAATGAAGCATTATTATTTGGTATCTTTACATAGCAACACACGTAAAACAAGTTATGAGTTGATTGAGTGACAAGAATATTGTGACTAAAGGCTTACTCTGTGTTTCCTCTAGGAGCTAACGTTTGGGATTCACTAATTCAGTGTTTCTGTTGTGCCTTGGTAAAAGGTAGCCTCACAACTAAAAGATTCCTGCAGTCCTCCTCTCTTCTGCACCTTTATTTTTTGCAAAGCTTAGCTAAAATAACTGCTTCACAGTGTCACATAAATATTAGTTAAGTATGAGTTAATAGAACAATTTAGCTCTAATTCATCACAATGAAGCTTAACATGATTATTTTGAAATATGAATATAAAAGTGGAGCCTTCAGACTTTTATTACGCTTGTTCTAACAAAAATCCATTCATTTAAAATAAATCCTTTTCTTTCCTTCCTTCTTTCCTTGTCTATGACTAATTACCACCTTTAAGTGCAGATAATTCAGCCTAGACACCTGTTTGTTGCCTCCTTCATTAGTTATATACGCCACACCTACAAGAATGTCTCCAAATGCAGGTTGTTTTCCTGCCAATAAACTGCTCTCCCCTAGAAAAACAAAGTTTTGGTGGCTACAAAAGATAGTCTGCAGTTTAAAAGAAAAACGAAGTCAGGCGTGGTGGCTCACATATGTACTCCCAGCTCACAGATAGGGAAGGGAGGTTTCAGGCTAACCCAAGGAAAAACTTCAGGAGATGCATTTCAGTCAAGAATCCAGGCATGGTGGTATATAAACTGGTCCCAGCTTTGCAGGAGACAGTCGATGAGAGGATCCCGGACTGAGACTAGCCCATAACAAAAAGCAGGAGACTTTATCAGAAAAATAACTAAAGCAAAAAACAAGTGGAAATGTGACCCGAGTGTTAGAATATCTGCCTAGTAAATACTAAGGCCTTGAGTTCAATCCCCAGTGTCTCCAAAAGAAGGAGAAAGAAGAAAACTAAAAAAGGGGGACGAGAAAGACTTAACTGATACTGTAAATTACATCCTTTTCCCACCCTTAAAAAAACACGAGTAAGCTGGGTACCAGTAGGCTCACGCCTGTAATCCTAACTACTTAGAAGGCTGAGATCTGAGGGTGGCGGTTCAAAGCCAGCCCAGGCAGGAAAAGTCCATAAGACTCTGATCTCCAATAAACCGCTCAGAAAACCGCAAGTGGCCCTGTGGCTCAAGGGGTAGAGCACTAGCCTTGAGCTGAAGAGCACAGGGACATCGCCCAGGCCTTGAGTTCAAGCCCCACCACCACCAAAAAAAAAAAGAACCTGGATAAAAGCATTATATTCTTCAACTTCTCCAAGTCACTGAAGATCACATCTGTTACAGAGCTAAAATAAATGGACTATTTTTAAAACGTAAGTCAAAATTCAATACTAAGGCTTCACTAAATAATTCAAGCGTGGCTCTGCGGAATACAAGATTTGATAGAACCACTAGAAATGGCCGGTGCCCTCAGGCTCTGGAACAATTGTTTGGGCGGGGGAGGAAAGAGGGATCAATTGCTTAAAAAATACTGGTGGGGCAATGGGATCTCTTCCAGCAAATAGAGAGAAATGAAGAAACGGGCCTGTAGTGTGGTGTGGGTGGACATCGAAGACACGACTTTCCCAGATAGAGTGACTGCTGTTGGCTCCCGTCTGTAATCCTATTTACTCAGGGGGCTGAGATCTGAGGATCACAGTTCAAAGCCAGGCTGGACAGAAAAGTCTGTGACACATTTTTGCTCTCAATTAACCAGCAAAAAGCCCATACGTGTAGGTGTGGCTCCAGTGGTAGAGCACCAGCCTTGGGCTGAGAACGCTAAGACACAGGATGCAGGCCCAGAGTTCAAGCCCCAGTACTGGTCCTGCGCGCGCGCGCAGCCCGGTGGCTGCTCCCGGGCAGGGCAGCCCGGGGTGGGACCGGTCTGCAGAGGCGCCTGGCGCGCGGGCGGGGCCTGGCACAGGCGCCCGGACCGGTTACACCGAAACCCAGCAGCCGCTGCTGGGTCCTCCTCCCCGGCTCCCCAGCGCACACTAGGGCAGGGTGCTGGGACCGGGGTCCTGGGGTCCTGGGGGTCTGGAGGGCGGGGAAGGCAGGGGGCACTGCGCCGGGGTTGCAGCGGGGCTCCTTCGCTGATCCGGGCGCCCCCTTGCGGCGCAGATCGGGTTGTGCAGCCCCGTCGGGGTGTCCCGCACTACGGAGGGCGGGGACTCGGGGACCTCCGCGGGCGCGGCGCAGCCGGGCGGCCGGACAGGCCGGGCACCGCGGCCCCAGGCGCGCGTCCGTCCTTCGCGGCGCGGCCGATCGGGTTCCGCGCCCCCAGCATCCGCGTCGCCCATGGCCGAGGCGTCCGAGCCAGACCTCGGGACAGCCGAGGGCGCGGCGGCGGGGCCAGCGGTGGAGACGCCGGGCTGGGAGGCCCCGGAGGACGCGGGCCCGCAGGTAGGCGCCCCCGGGGCGGGCAGGCGGGGACCCGGCGCTGCCTTCGGGCTACTGTGGACTTCTAGCAGGTCGATCTAGAGCTGGGTCCGTCGCGGGCGGCGATGGCGGGGGGCATGGACGCTTGTGGGGGCGAGGGCCGTCGCTGTGCCCAGGGAGGGCGCCGAGGGCGCCCACAGGCGTCTCCGCAGGCCCGCAAGGGTCCGGCGCTGAGGCCGGAGGTGCGGCCTGCTCCTGGGAGACCAGAGATGGAGGTATCCGAATTGCTGTCTCGTTTCTGGGAGCTTTCTCTGCCCCGATGTAGGCCGGAAGTTATGAGACCCGACACTACGGGCCCGCCAAGTGGGTCAGCACCTGCGTGGAGTCCATGGACTGGGATTCCGCCATCCAGACCGGCTTCTCCAGACTGAACGGCTACATTCAAGGCAACAACGACAGAGGTGCGGCCGGTGGCCTGGGGTCACTGAGCGTCCTGTGTTTGAGACTCGGAGCATAGAATTAATTTCCTTTTAGCTTATTAAGAAGATGCTCTTTAAAAAAAATAGATAACAAGATCATTCAAGACCTAGTGTTTCCAGACAAAGTCTCTCCTGAGGAACTTTAGCTTGATGGCAGGAGGGGACAAGCCTGGCACTTTTAAACTTCAGCCTTCCCTGTTTCTGCTTCCTGAAGAAGTACTGTCCCACACGGCCAGCGTTTCAGGGTAATTTAGTGCTTGGGAAAGTCTTCCTGGGCAGACAAGATTAGGAGATACTAGTTCCAAGACAAATAACTTGTGTCTTACGTGTGTGTGTGTGTGTGTGTGTGTGTGTGTGCACGCACAGGTCTCTCAGCCTACTTAAGCTAAGAGACTAGGCTATTTAAGGTCCTATTTTCTCAATTATAAAAACTTTGCCTTTTATCTCTAAAAATATAGGATTTGTTAATGCCAAGAGTATAGGGGGGGAAATACATTGAAAATGTTTAATATGGACCATGAATAGTTGAGTCACCCTGCCCTTACTTTTTAAGATGAAAAAATCATCTTAATGGTAAATACTTGGATCTTGTAAAGTAAATCAAGAAATACATTTTTAAGCCGGGCGCTGGTGGCTCACGCCTGTAATCCTAGCTACTCAGGAGGTTGAGATCTGAGGATCGCGGTTCAAAGCCAGCCCGGGCAGGAGAGACCATGAGACTCCTATCTCCAATAAACCACCAGGAAACCGGAAGTGGCGCTGTAGCTCAAATGGTAGAGCGCTAGCCTTGAGCTGAAGAGCTGAGGGACAGTGCCCAGGCCCAGAGGTCAAGCCCCACGACCGACAAAAAAAAAAGAAGAAATACATTTTTAAAGAAAAAAGAATAGGTTAAAATTTAAAATGTGGTCATAAAGACGTTGAAGTTGCTCTCCTTTCTCTGGCCCAGAGATGAAAATAAAGATGACAGCGCCAGTGATGAGCTATGTGGAGCCCGGCTCAGGTCCTTTTAGTGAGTCTACCATTACCATCTCCCTGTACATCCCCTCCGAGCAGCAATCTGATCCGCCCAGGCCTTCGGAGTCGGATGTCTTCATTGAAGACAGAGCTGGGATGACTGTGTTCGTACGGTAAGTGGTAGATAAGGTACAGCCCAGGTGCCTCTGAGGCCTACTCGATGACAATTTCGCCTGTGTGCTTGTGGGCAATTTCAACACACTTTTCACCCTTCCATAAAAACTAGTGCCTTTCATGTTTTCCTACTGGCATTTGTGTTTGTGTGTGTGTATGTGTGTGTGTGTGCCAGTACATGGGCTTGAACTCGGGTCTTCTTGCTTTTGCTGAGCTTTTGCACTCAAGGCTGGCACTCTACCATTTGAGCTACACCTCCACTTTCAGCTTTTTGCTCTTTAATTGGAGTAAGAGTCTCATGGACTTGTTCTGTGTGGACTGACTTGATACTAAGATCTCAGCCTCCTGTGTAGCTAGGATTATAGGCATAAGACATCAGAGCCCAGCTCCTGACTTGATTTTAAATATTACTAAGGACTGCTGCAATATAAGATCAATTTATTTAATAACAATTCTATCGTATAGCCCCCATGTATAAAACACAGTACAAATTATATCCCCATAAAATAGAAATCTGCCCTTTACTGCAATCTACATAAGGCTGAACAAAAATGCGTGAAAAAACACATCATACATATATCATACCTGTTTTTCTTTATTTGGATTTCTCTAACAAAACACGACAGGCAGAATAGCTTATAAAAAACAAAAAACAAGTTCTCACAGTTTTGGAAGTTGAGAAGTGGAGTTCAAGGCACTGGCTAGGGACCTTCTTGCTGTATGTGGAATCAGCATACAAGCTTCTAGTTCTCTTTCACAGGGGCACTAATTCTAATAACAGGAGCTCCACCCTCTTCCCCAAAGCCCCACCTCCTAATACTGTCCTGTTGGTGATTAGGATGTCAACACCGCCCCCTGTGGGGGAAATGGCCCACTGCATCCTGCCTTTGGCGGTGCTTCGGTAGGGTGGTAGTGAAACTCCAAGGAGAGAATTTAAAATAAGACCTTTAGAACATAGCCATCACTCACTACTGTCTCTAGAGCTGTCCTCTGTGATCCCGAGTCTTCAGCCAGCCACCCTGGCCTCAGTGTCCCTGTTGTCACTCTCAGGAACAGACTCTCTTCCTCAAGAATATGACAGCTTGCCACCATGTCCACATAGCTACCCAGCTTCTAGCAAGGCAAGCATGTGGGGTTGGAGGCACAACTTATGTTTATGTACCAAATAAAGCAGCAAATAGATCCTTGTAGAGCCACATGGATCCAGAGAACAGAAGGTGACTTCTAAGGAGGGGATTCAAGATTTGTTTTTAAGGAAAAAGTGGGATCTGAAAACAAATTCTCTTTGGGCAGAACAGAGTGTTGTCTGTTCATTGGGGAAATAAGTAGTAAATCTGGGAGCCAAAACGTTTTGTTACACATGGCTCAGAATTATATTCAGTGTTTGATGCAAATGAGAAGAACCGAATCGACTCACCTGCTGTGTTCTATTTACGTATCTGTGTGTTCAGAGATGCCTGCATTTCCTCACTGTGAATGGAAACTCTGGGCCAGAGAGCCTGGCTGCGGAGGAAAAATAGTTTGTGCTCTTGAGATTTTACATCTTATCTGAAGGATGGTAGGATTGCTTTTTGTGTGTGGATATTTTGATAGTGAAATTCATATCATCTTAGGAATATAATGTACCATATTGAACATATTAGAAATTTTTCTCAGTATTCTGTTTGTGCTGGATCTGGGACTTGAACTCAGGGCTTCATGCTCTTGCTTGGCTTTTTTGCTCATAGCTGGTGCTCTAGCATTTGAGCCATAACTCCAGAGGTGTGTGTGTGTGTGTATGTATGAAGGTCTTGGGGCTTGAACTCAGGGCCTGAACACAGTCCCTGAGTTTCTTTTTGCTCAAGGCTAGCATTCTACCACTTGAGTCACAGCTCCACTTCCAGCTTCTTTGATAGTTTATTGAAGATAAAAGTCTCACAGACTTTCCTGCCAGGGCTGGCTTCAAACAGTGATCCTCAGATCTCAGCCTCCTGAGTAGCTAGGATTACTGGTATAAGCCTCCAGTACCCAGCTGTTTCTTATTCTTAACCATAAAAAAAAAAGTATTATGTTTGCCTGTCAGTAGCTCAGTGCTGTCATGATTTGATCTCAGGAGCGAATCTACTTCTGTTTGGCTTGTACTTTTACTCTCGTTCCCACATTCGATCCCATTCTTTTCCACCCTTACTGGCTCCTTCCTTCAGTCTGTCTTTTCTCTCTGCCTACATTCCTTCATAGATCAGAAGATTCTGTTCAGGATCCTTTGGAAACATCTCAACAGGCATAGGCTAAGATACAGTTTCTATGCTCCCACCCACCCCTTCTGACCTCACTTTCTGCCTGTTGAGAATGCTTTGTACTTTTAGAGTTTTGTTCAAACATTCTGTCCCTTTTGTTCAAATATGCCTTTCCCTTTTCTGCTCTTTGCAATACCATCCTTCATTCCAAGCCTGGCTCCGAAGACGTCTTAAACTCTGTATTTAATTGTCCTTATTAGTCACTGGTCGCTGAGCACTGATTCTGCCTCCTAAAACCTTTGTATAGAGAGCTACCAAAATGTGGTTTCTTCCATTGGTCTGTGAATGTGTACAGGTTTAAACTATATCGTATCCATCCATAACTCAGTGTCTGCTTGCCAATGTAGAGGAAGAAAGAGGACATGTTCAAAGGTAGGAGTCTGAGCTAAGTATGGTGACTCCTACCTGCAGTCCCAGCTCCAGAGGCTGGGACAGGAAGGTGGGGGCATGGCTCAAGTGGTAGAGTAGTTGCCTAGTAAATCTGAGGTCCTGGGTTCAATCCTCAGTTTAAAAGGAAGGAAGAGGAAGGGAAGGAAAGAGGGAGAGGGGGAAGGTGGAAGAAGAGGGAAGAACGGACTAGAGTGTGGAAGCCAGGCATCTAAGGCAATTCTGTGGTTCTACCAACAGTATCAATGTGTACTGAAATCTTCATAGGTTTTCTCTTAGACCTAGAACCCAGTCCTCTTAAATGTGCATTTTAATAACATCCCATAATGATTTATAAACGTTAAAATTTGAGCAGCACAGGATTACAGATTACAGCACAGGAGATGGTGTAAATTCCAAATCTGACAACAGATGAGACTTGGGTGCCTCCTGGGTGTCCTCCATGGGCTTGAAGTCACCTGAGACAGGGAACCACGGGGAGGAGGGTCATTGCAGGCTTAGAAACTGCACTTCAATCCAGCCATCGGAGTCCAGCGCCTGCTCTTCTCAGTCTGGCATTGTCGTCAGTATTAAAATCACTCACTTGCTGGGTGCTGGTGGCTCACATCTGTAATACTAACTACTTTAGGAGGCTGACATCTGAGGATAATGGTTTGAAGCCAGCCCAGGCAGAAAGGTCTGTAAGACTCTTATTTCCAATTAGCCATCTAAAAGCCAGAAGTGGAGCTATGATCAAGTGATAGAGTATCAGCCTTGAGCACGAAAGCTCAGGAGGTAGAATACCAGTCAGCCTTGAGCAGAAAAAGTCATGTGAGAGTTTGAGGCCCTGAGTTGAAACCCCAGTATTAGAACAATAAAGAAGCTAATCAACAAAACGAAATCACTCACTCATTTACTTTCTCTTTTGCAGGTCATTTGATGGGTTCTCTAGTGGCCAAAAGAACCAAGAACAACTTTTGACATTAGCAAGCATTTTGAGGGAAGAAGGAAAAGTTTTCAATGAAAAGGTTTTCTACACTGCAGGCTACAACAGCCCTTTCAAACTGCTCGACAGAAATAATGAAGTGTGGCTGATTCAGAAAAATGAATCTTCCAAAGAAAATGAATGAAAAAATGCAAGAAAGTTCATTTCTGTTGAATGTTGGCGTCAATACCACCTCTAAAGTGTATCTAGAATCTTTTGAGTGGACTAGTATGAAATCACACTCATTTCCAGTGTGCCTTCCTAATGCTTAAAGCTTTATTTAGATACACAGATAAACCTGGGGCCAAGGAAATGGGTTATAGTTCTGGTGGCCTTACTTTCTGAGAGCATCTAGTGAATTGCCTGCTGCTTCCTCTTCCTTGAGTCACAATCATGTCCTGTTCCTGCAGGAATTTGTGTCCATTGCACCTTACACTTTCTGGATAATATCAGTAAAAATAGGAAAAACTAACCTGATGTGATCTATGAGACTGGAGAGGTGAAATTCAGTTGGAAGCAGAGAGAAATCATTTTGTGTGTGTGTGTGTGTGTGTGGCTGCACTGTCCTATTCTTTGTTGAGCTCTTTCCTTCACCTGCCCACTACCCTCTGCACAAGAAGGTACTTACCTAAGTGTTCATCAAGTTGTGTGATACCAATAAATTTATCACAGTTTAGGGACTTCCTTGCCCTACTTATCCCTCCTACTCATTACTGGCATGTTTTCTAAAGAAATAGGCACAACCCCGTTTTAAATTTCACTAAAACGCATAAAAACAATTCATGCAATAGTGTGTCTTCAGAGTGTAGATTGTTGCAACATCAAGGTTAGGACTCTTTGCCTCACTATTCTTCAAATGTTACTCTGGGGAAGATAAGTCCCATTCAGCCTTTATGGGGAGGAGGTAGCTCTACTGTGGTAATCTTAGGAATGGGAGAAGAAACACAGTCAAGTTTGGTTACTTCCCAACAATGAAAGCTGCCTGTGAGTAGCCCTTGCTGTCACATCTCAGGAGACAGGTGCCTACACTGGAGGTTTGAGTGTTCAGTGGATTGGTTGGGGCTAGATGGGGCATGTAGTCCCTTCTTCAAACCTAACATGGTCTGGTTTATCTTAAGTTGAATCTTCATAACCTGTGTGCAATAAGCCAATGGTCGTTCACTTTTGTAGCTGACATAGATGGAGTACCTTCTTAGATGTGATGTTCCAAGTGCACCCAAATCACCATATTCAACTCTTGGAATAAACATTTAACCATCCTCACTTACAGAGAAGGAAAATGAGGCATAGAGATGTTGGGTAACTTGCCCCAGATGACACTGTAAGGACAGAGGCTGATGGAGCCCAGGCAGACTTCTAAGCCCACACTATTGACTTTTTACACCCCACAGACATAATCCGGTGATGCCCCTCCTGCAGAGAAATAATCACGATCATGACATTTTAAACTGGTTGTTCTATTTTTCCTTTTGGCAATAAGAGGAGTTGGACTAGACCTCAGGATCACTAGGCAGATGCTTTACCACTTGAAGCTGTCAATCATGATCCAAACAAGCTCAATGTTTGCTTTTTGAAATACTATGTTAGAATTTCTTTCAGTCAGTTTCCAAAGATAATTCCTTGCATTGCATATTGGCAGGACATTTTGGAGAGAAGTAACAGGGTCAAAGAAGAGGCTACTAACAAAGCTGTATATACTGCTGGGGGGGGGGGGAGGAAAACTGGGCTTGTGCAGGCATTGTTGATGAAGAAAACTGCTGACCTTACATGGCGCTGATTTGTTTTGTTTTGGCTTTGTTTCATTTTAGGAAACCTAGGGTCCTGAGATTAACAGGATTGATTGGGCTTTAGTTGTGACGGAGCAGCGGGAGTAGCTGCTGAGTAGTGTGATTTTGAAGCCTGGTTTAGAGTCAGGTCACTGATGCAAAGTCATCATTGATTGTTTCTGGCACTTATGTGTTATTGTGGACTGAGAATGGCTGCTTCTTTTCTGAGATAAGAAGTTGGAGCAGACCACCACATGGTGGTGGTGGGGGGCAGTGGGGGAGCACACAGCATTCAGGACTTGCCTTAAGGAAGTACTAGCTGCACAGATGAGAAACGTGTGGCCTAGCAAACACTTCTTGAGTCTATATAGAATACACTATTGAATTCCAGATGTTACGCCATGGAGCCTATCAAGGGTGAGTCAGCGGTTGATGATAGATGAGTAGTTCTTAGTTGACAGCATGCTTTCTTCTGCCAACTTACATCCAATGGCTGAGCAAGGTGGTAGTGTAAGACAGCCATTTCTACCAACTTGGGACACCTCTGAGTCTTTGTTCTAGAGCTCCTGGTGGGCTTGTCAAGGCTTTGCCAGGTCAGCACTGCAATCTGGTAGCTCCCTGCTTAGTCCTGCTTTTCTGGTCCATACAAAGGCATAACTTCTCTGCACATCTCTGTGCTTTTTCACCCCAGCTTAGCCTCAAATAGACTCTGTAGTGATGACTCAAGGGCACAGGTGGGAAGAGAGCATTTTGAGAATGCCTGGCTGGTCACGAGGCTCCCAGCCCTGGTGGACAGTCTCTGGCACAGGAGGCTGTGCAGTTAATACAACTCTAGACGAAGTGGCATCCTGGTGCAAAGGACTGTGCTGATGGGTGGATGGTTCTGCTGTCTTCAGTACGAGAGACAGGGTGGGTAATAAACAGAAGAGTAGTATTGAGTTGGGTGGTTTTCCTTAAGAGCAGATGTCAATTAACAACTGGAAATTCACTGGAAGAGCCAGAGTCTCTGGAACTTTCAAACAAGTCCTCATCTCATGTAGTAGCCAAGCAGAAGTCCTTTAATGAAAACTCATTTACAGGACTTGTTCCCATGGCCAACTCTAGTCTTCATTTGGTAAATAAAGGCTAGCCTGTGTGGAAGGTAGGTTAGAGGAGTTCATTAAAACAACTCTCCTATAATAACTCACTTAAGGAAAAACTTAAAGAATTCAAGCCAATGTTTTATTTGAAAGACCCTCATTTCTCCCCACTATCCTAATATCTGCCAAGCCATCCCATTATACTATTTCATGATAGAATTTCATCAGTGTAAGTCATTATTACAGGTCAGCTGCAAATGCATTAAAACCAATGGAATATAACCAATGCTTCACCTGTCCCCCAGCCATAGAACAGGTGTGTCACCACCAGCAGGTAGGGAATAAGATGGAGAGAGAGAAGGCTTCCTTTTCTTTTCTAGTCATTGCAATTCCCAAATGAGTAAAGCCATAAAATAGCCTGATATTTTCATGTAACCTTAAGCCATCTCTAAACTAGAATATCTGTCAGTGGAATATGGTATGAATAATTCTTATGCAGTATTGCTTAGGGAATAATGATAAGAAAAAGAAGTCTAAATGTTCAGGGCACATGCATGTTTTTTTCCAGATTATTTAAAATCTTTTGTAGTGTCAGGGATTAAATGTAGGGCCTTGCACATTAGGTAAGTGCTCTCACACTGAGCTATATCTGCAGCCCGTTTTTCAGATATTTTTGGTGTGTAGCGAGTTGAAACCGTGGCTCTAGGACTTTAGGAATATGGAGAACCAACTGGATATCTCATCCCCTTGAGAAGTGATGAATTTCAATCAAGATTCTTCAGAAGCAGGTAGAAGGCAGAAAGCAAATCAAAGTCAGACTCCAGCTGACAGACCAAATGCTCACTTGATTCTCTCCAACTCTTAGATAGATTAAGCTAGCAGTAATTCAGCCCAAGGGCTTCCATGCCTATCTGCCATAAGAAGAGCCATCTAGTCTACCCACATAGAGCTTTGAGTATGACCCAGCCCAGACACAGAAGCAGCCCTCGGGGTAGCCGAGCACTACAGCTGAGGATACAGCATGCTCGAGGGATGTGTACATTCTTCTTCCGCTATCATCCAAACCTGTGAAAAGTTCTCATAGCCCCCCACACATTATGTCTTTTGATATACCAGCCTTTGGTTATTCCCATGACATTCAAAAGCCCTTGTAACATTATTTGGAGCTGTTTTTCCAAATGTCCTTTTAGCCACAGCACCCAGAGTCTGTGATGTTCTGTCTTGCCTCAGTGGGGTCCCCACCTCCCACAGGAACCTTCTGGTCTTCACTGCTGTTCTGTTTTGTATCCAGCAAAGCACTGAGTAATTTGGTACAAGAAAACCTATCTCATTATCCAAAAAACAAAAAACTCCCAAAACACATGGACAAGCCAAAAGAAGTTTCAAAGACTGATTTTACAACTGTTTTATTCAAAGTAAATTTCAAATCTAATAAATATCTTTCAAAATGGGGATGTTTAATCATTTTATAATTAGTTTTAATGTTGCTTATTGTACCTTCAAACAAATGATTTATATATTAAGTTCAAGATTTCTAATAGCCACATACATTCTAATCATTTGTTGGAAGGTATGGGAAGACTGCATATTCAAAAGCCAACATTACTTTCCTAATGTTTACAAAAACCATCCCTGTGCCCCCATTGTAGAGACAACTGTCCCAAAGAATAAAAAAACCCTTGAACCCATGGACACAGGTCCTCTTCGTTTCTGGTTGTATGAAAAGAGGGGCTCTGTTGGCTGCTGAGACAGAAAGGAGGCTTAACTTTCCCCTGAAGACATGTCTAAAATGGGTTTGTTTATGATGGTTTGACACAGGTGGTCTGACTTTCAGATCACACTTTCATTCCACTGTCGATGGCAACGGATGGTTGCACTCAATTTAGACCAAGGATCACAAGATTTCCATTCTGACAAAGAAGGCAACACTAGTTTATTCCAAGTATGCCAAAACTGGGAGGGAGGGTGCGGCCCATGGGAAGAGTATGTTAACATAAATATGTCACATACCTTTCTCCCATGTCTGCCACTGTTGGAACTCTGACTGGAGACTAGAAGGTATTTATATTTAATTATTTACACACAAATATAGAAACGCACAAACCAAATGATGCAAAAACATTTTTAATCTAAAAAATTCATTTCCCAGGGCTAATTAATTGCCAAGCCCTACCAATTTTCATCAGTTTATTTGACTAACAAGAGCTATATCCAGCATTTTCTTCAAAATGAGATAATATATCATAGCTTTTGGTAAACTTTTTTTCTAAATTATGATGCTGTAGGCAGTTCAAGGGAAAAAATTGTCTTATTTTTTTCTTTGGTGTAACCAAAAGGATATCCAAAAGTTAGCAAATGCTGACCTTTCAAGTGATAAGAAATTGCCAAGTGGAAGCTTAAACTCTGGTTAAAGAGAAAGGAAAAAAAAAACTATAAAAAACTCTCATAAAAAAGGAAAGCCTTCGCCCACAGTTCTGTAGTGCAAGTGTTCAAAAATTTAATCATGAAAAGGTTTAATAAGCAGGCAACAAATCCCAGCAGTGTAGCACTTCCTCCTCCCTGCCCGGAGGCGCGGCCTGCCCCTGTGCGCATGCGCGCTTCGGCTCCAGCGCCTACTCAAGGCGGTCCTTCCCAGCAACCCAGCCACGCCGAGCTGTGTGCGGGCTGCGGGCAGCAGCAGGCACCATGTCAGCCTTGTTACTTCCACTTTTGTGATTTCATTTGAACTGAGAAAGAAGCAAAGCCTTTTACCCTCCCAGGAGAAAAAAAGAAAAAGAAAACCAGTACCTGAACCCGTGGCACCCAGCCCTTCCCAGCTTCGCGGTGCCGCCCTCAGCAGCACGCATGCGCGCGCGTGCGCACTCGCGAGGGTTGGGTGCCCGGCTGGCCTACAGCCTCCCTCTCCCACAAGTGATGGCCTTCTCCTTCCCCCGGGGCGCATTCCATACACAGTGCTTCCAAAGCAAACTACGGCCTAGTCCCGGAGACTGCACTCCTCTACCTAGCTTTGCTGACCTGCTCTCTCCCGTTTCTCTGTACATACTGTTAGTGTGTGTAGCTGTTAAAGTGTTCAAAACTCACACACACACACGCATCATTTAATCATCATCATCTTCCCCAGGAAGCACGTTCAGAAGTGTAAGCTTCTACTTGCTTTTCACCACGTGGGTGCTACGTGACCCACAGCCCTGGGGGCCCCAGCACCGATGCTGCTGCGTGGGGTCCCTCGCGCGGGCCGGGTAGGGCCCCACAGGCTTCCCGAGCCGGTGCACCGTCATCCCTGCCTCGCCGGGGACAGGCGCCTCCAGGTCCTAGCTCTCCTCTCTGCCACTGCCCTGGACGGGGGTCCCGTCCGCCTGCTCCCGCGCCAGGCCGTCGGGCGCGCACCCCCTGGCCACGTCCAGCGCGTGGCGAGCCCGGTGGTCGGCGGGCTCCCCGGCTTCCCCTTCGCCCTCGGAGATGACGGTCATGGGGCTGCTCTGGATGCGGTTCCGCATGCTGTACCTGCTGCTGGCCGCCGAGGGCGGCGTGCGGCTGCGGCTGTACCTGGGGCCCGAGAAGGACAGACTCCTCGGCATCAGCCCTTCGTTCTTGGCCCACTCCTCCTGGGCCCTCCTGGTCTTGCTGGACGGGCTCTCGGGGGTGTCGGGCGCCGGCTCGGACCGCGATCTCTGGAATCGAGGGTCCGTGCTCTTGAGCATCTCGGCCGCCGACATGCGGGCGCTGGCGTCCGACCGGCTGCCCTTCTTCAGCAGCAGGGCCTTGAAGTTGTCGCTGCTGGTGCTGCTCTTGCGTACGCTTCTCTGAATGGACCCCACCTGCTTCGGAGAGGCCAGGCTGGGCGCGGCACCCGTGGGCGTCACGGGCGGGGAGGGGGAGTGGTTCCGGGTGTGGTCGTCCTCCGAGTCCTTCCGGCCAAGCACCTTCCTCTTGGATCTGAGATTTACAGGGAGAAAAAGGTCAGTCCTCGCGGAGCCTAGGGTAGCCCTCTCCCTACTGCCCTGCGCGCACCGCCAGTCACCACACACTTAGGACTCGGGTCTAAAGAAACGATGGGAAGGTGGCTCAGTGGTAGAGCGCTTACCTTGCATGCATGAGGCCCTGAGTTCCATTCCTCAACACCATATAAGAAAAAAGAAAAAAGCTGGAAGTGGCGCTGTGGCTCAAGTGGTAGAGTGCTAGCCTTGAGCTGAAGAGCTAAGGGAAGCGCCCAGCCCAGGCCCAGAATTCAGGCCCCACGACCGGACACCCCCCCCCAAAAGTCTAACAGATCTTAAGAAATGTACTCATTATCTTGCCCATGTAATTGTACAGTATGTTCACAAAAAATAAAAATTTAAAATAAAAAAAAAAGAAACGATCTTATCCCTGTACTGACCTCTGAGTGAGTCCTTCACGATCCGTGATCACCACCAACTTCGGCCTTGCCCTGTTCTCTAGCTGATTTTTGAAACTAGGCTGACACTCTACCACTTGAGCTACGCCCTCCCCCCCCGTCTATGTGATTTAAAACCAACCAACCACCCCGACTGTGTTAGCTAAGTTCTCAGACATCTTTGCTTTTCAGTCAGCCCTCAGAGGATGACCCTCCCCACCCCACCCCCCACCACCACCAAAGCGCAGAAATAAGCGCCTCTCCAAATTGTGGAGGTAGAAGAGGATTCGGAACTGCTAGTCCAACCTTCCTCCCCCTTGTAAGTGGCAGCACCCTCCACACCTGCTCTATTCATCTTCATTTTTTGTATTATTCACTGGTGGCAGGGTAATGTTGGGTTTGTTGTTATTGTTGTTGCTTTGGTTTTTGTGCGTCGTGGGGCTTGAACTCTGGGCCTGGGCATTGTCCCTGAGCTCTGCTGCTCAAGGCCAGTGCTCTACCACTTGAGCTACAGTGCCATTCTGGTGGTTAACTGGAGATAAGAGTTTCATGGGCTTTCCTGCCCAGGCTGGCTTTGAACCGTGATCCTCAGATCTGAGCCTCCTGAGTAGCTAGAATTATAGGCGTGAGCCACCGGCACCTGGCTTGTTTTTGGTTTTTAAGAGGTGAATAGGGCTCTGTGATACATAAAACAAACCAACACTTTTTTTTGGGGGGGGGGGGGAGAGTCCGGTTGTGGGGCCTGAACTCTGGGCCTGGGCGCTGTCCCTCAGCTCTTCAGCTCAAGGCTAGCTCTACCACTTGAGCCACAGCGCCACTTCTGGCTTTTTTTCTTTTTGCTTATGTGGTGCTGGGGAATTGAACCCAGGGCCTCATGCAGGCAAGGCAAGTGCTCTACCACTGAGCCACCCACCTTCCCAGCCCCAAACCAACACTTCTTTTGCTTGGTGCTGGTAATAGGGTTTAAGTTCAGGCCTCTCCTTTGCTAGGCAAGCACGCTATCACTGAAACCATGTTTCTGAGATCTTTTTTTTTTGTCAGTTGTGGGGCTTGAACTCTGGGTCTGAGCGCTGCACCTCAACTCTTCAGCTCAAGGCTAGCGCTCTACCACTTGAGCTACAGCACCACTTCTGTTTTTCAGGTGGTTTACTGGAGATAAGAGTTTCATGAACTTTCCTGCCTGGGCTGGCTTTGAACCGCGATCCTCAGATCTCAGCCTCCTGAGTAGCTAGGATTACAGGCGTGAGCCACCAGTGCCCGGCTTCTGAGGTTTTGTTTTTTTTTTTAAATTGTTATTATGAAGGTGATGTACAAAGAGGTTAAAGTTACATACGTCAGGTAAAGAGTACATTTCTTTTTGGACAGTTATCACCCTTCCCTTGCTCTCTCCCAGTTTTTCCCTTCCATTCCCACTCATAAGCCCCCAAACTCTTTAAAAAGCCTTTTGCTTTTCTTCCAGATAGGGTCTCACATTTTTATTTTGGACTGAGGTAGGCCTCACTCAGGATCTTCTTACTTCCACTGGGATTACAATCTCCATACCTAGCTTGCTTGTTGAGATGGGTCTTTCTAAAATTTTCAGAAGCTTGTATTACAGGTATGAGCTACTGTGTCTGGCTGACAACTATACTTGGTTAGCCTTTGATTACAGATTTAAAGTACACAATAGGATTTTATAAAAAGCATTGGGCCTGAGCACTGTCCCTGAACTTTTTCACTTAAGACTATTGTTCTACCACTTGATCCACAGCTCCACTTCCAGCTTTTGGGTGATTAATTGGAGATAAGAATCTCACAGACTTTCTTGCCTGGGATGGGTCAAATGGCAGATTTCAGCCTCCTGAATAGCTTGGATTACATGCATGTGCTACCAGCATTGACTTAAATTTAAACACATGAATTTTCTGTGTATTCCTAAAGAAGATGGCTATAAAAGTACTTAAACAGTTAACATTGGCTTAAAAATGAATTACTTCAATAAATACAAAATCTTCACACCTCAACTGGTGTCTACACTTTCCATCTGGCTTTAGTTCTGAAATGAATTAATTTGCATTAAAAAACTTGAAAGCTGTGCCTCAGTTTTAAATAGTCTTTATTATAAATTATGAATTTGGAGGCTAAAAGACATGTAAATAAACTTCTAACTAGCATGGGTTTCAGAAGATTTTGATCATATTTGCTAACACAGTATTTGTGCTAACATTCACCCTTGATCTGTCTTTGCATGTCGTTTTGAGGCTACCTGCCTTCACTTCTCTAGTGAGTGCAGAGAATGTTACAGACTGGTGGTTTCCACATCTTCAGAACATGTAACTACCATGTAGGAGAAACCACAAACGTTTTAGTGCCTTCTGAAAGTTGCTAAAATAGAGTATGGAAGAGACCTATGGCATATTTTAAGAAAAAGTATGTAGTAATTTGGCCCCACAACAACTGGATTTCCTTAAGATCAAGTGTATTTAGTACACAGAGCAACTAGGCAACTACAGCTTGCTATTACCCATGTAATATATATTACATATAGTATATATTGTATCTATTATATATTCAATGAATATTATATAATATTTTATTTATATATATTTCTATACACTTAGCAATTTGATGCATTTCATACTAAATGAAAGGTTCTGGATCTTGAAAGAATTTCCTGACAGTTAATCTCCAATGGGTTTCATTTAATTCAGAGAATATTTATTAAGTGCATATTACGCATCTATCATGCTTAAAGTTGAAAGATCTGTGTAAAGCTCTAGAAATGCCACTAAATTTGGTTTCAATAGATGCACTCTGATTTTCCCCCATTTTTATTTCTAATGAGATCAAAGAAACTGCTAAAACATCAATGGACCCAGTCTTAGATCTGTGGTACTAATGCTAAAACTGAAAGGCATTGAGCACTGGGCAACTTCTTGATGGATATCTCAGCTTGCCAGCTTGCCACAATTTCAATGCTCAGATGTCAAACAAGCGGTTCTAGATAGGGTCTTTACATTTCATGCAACGGTCTTTTCAGTTAAATTCCAGGAATTGGGGAAGAGGGTTAACATGGGCTATTTACAGAGAATCAAATGACTTTATAAGATGCTCTGTTTCAGTGTGTGTGGGGGGGGGGTCAGAGGGGGACGACTATAACTTGGAGAAAAATAAGAACTTGGCGGCATACAGGCATTCATGAGAGTTACCTCAAAACACTGTGGTAAGATAAGCCTAGCAGGAAGCAAAAAGTACAATGTTACTGATTTTTATTGACTGCTGTGCTAGGCTGTTTACAGCCAGACAACTGATGTGATAAACGAAACTTTAGTGCTAAATCATATACATTCTTAAAGGTGCCCAAATAAATAAAACTAACAGTTCAGTTTACTTTGAAAAGTTGATCCTATAATGGTTCTAAAATCAGCTCTTTCTATTGCCAGTAGATGGCACTAGCGGTATACAGTAACAAATTCCAGACTGTTGGCTCTTGCATAAAGAGATGTATTATTCTCTTCTCTTTGAAACACTAAGGAGCCAAAGAGATTGCACTACACAATTACACATTTCTGTACAATGCAAATAATGATTATTATAACGATAAACTAAACAAGAAGGGAGTTCTGAAGAATCAGTCTGTACATCCTAAGTCCTGGAAACCCGCATCCTGGACCTGAGCCCTGGCTGCTCTAGTCCAGCGCTGTCATATGACTGGCACACTGTGCTGCTGGCCAGCAAGAGAGGTATCAACCAGAAGGTATGGCCTTGAGCTTCTGTCCCCAACACCATCACGAAAATCAGTGGTAAAACGTAAAACAGAAACCGGAGCGAGAGGAAATGGAAGGATAAAAGATTCATGGTAATAAAAATAGAGTTAAGAGTTAGTAAATCATGACTAGGTAACAGAAGAAACCCTAATAACATAGAGAAACTGTTTAGGAAGATGATAGAAAACAGAGCAAAGTATGAGGAGGGAGTGCAAGGGTACCTGTGAATCGCTGCAAAAAGGTCTTCCGTGGTCCTGGGTCTGGTGGGGGTCATCACCTCATCACTCCCGGCTTCCTTCCAGTCCCAGGCTTCTGAAGAGGCACTGGCTGAATGGGTTGCTGGCACCCCGGCTACGGGAGGCAAGAAGGCAGGAACACAAGATGCAGTAATCAGAATTTCCGTTCTTTGCCAAGCCCCAAAAGGCGCTGCCTCCCTGGCAAAGGGACGGCCACAGCGGTGGAGTGGGGGGGTGGGGGTCTCGAATGATATTTTGAAAGGCTGGGGAACCACACTAGCCCCCTAGCTGGAGCCCTGCCTTTTCTCTTACACAACTTGCACTGAACTGCTCTTACATTTTGTGAGTACACTGCTTTGCAGGAGAGATTACTCATTGCTATTCTATAGCCAGACTGCCGTAGACCACCCCCACCGCCCTATTTTTTTTTGTTTTTGGATCATGCTGTATGTAAGCTTTCCCCTTAGATATGGATTTTTCCTTTTAAAGCTGAAGATGCAAAGTTGATAGGGAAACACAAGAAGCCCTCCTCATGCTGACTTTTGCACAGAGCCTCCTCTGATCTATCTGGATCCACGTGTGAGCGGCATTCAGCAGTGCTATTTGGCTCAGCAGCAGATGATCAGAGCAGCACGGAGGAGCGAAGCTAGACTCACCTGCGCTGTCCTGTTGAGACAGACAGCTCTCTGCCTCACCCGTGCCATCCTCGCTGCTCTTGGGGGGCTCCTCCTGTGTAGGGGCTGGCGAGGCATCGGGCTGTACCATGGGAGCATTGGCTTCCACTCTGCCAGGGGACACAGCTCCTGCAGCTCCTCCCTCCAGAACCGAGCTGCTCGGGTCAGTAGCATGAGAGCCAGGCTGGAATGCAGGGCTCTCTTTTGCCTCTTTGCTGTGCACAGAGCCCTCCCCTGCCCTGGTGGGGCTGGGTGACCTGCAGAAGGCTTCTCTCCCGTTCTCTGAAGGCTCCGCTGTGAAATTTCTCTGCGGAGGTGGCACCACCAGGAACAGTTTGGGCTTCTTGGAGATGGGAGGTGGCTTTCTGCTGGGTGAAGAGTCTGGGAGTGGGGTAGTTCTGGGGTCTGGTGGAGCCTCTGCCTCCCCGGTGCCAGGCCCAGGGCCCGGAACCCCATAGTTGGCGCTCGGAGGGCTGCCACGCTTGGCTGCACTGTCATGGTCACCCTGACTCGGGCTCTTGGCAGGCGTCGGCAGCAGGTTTGTCACGGAGGCAGGCTGGCTTTCACTCTCCATTTCGTTTATGCTATTTCGGGATTTCAGGAAGGCAGATGGCTTTAAGTGATACTGTGGAACAGTCGGGGTTCCTTGTTCCTGAGCAATTGGTTCAGACAGCAGTGCCGCCTCTGCGCCTGAGTTCTTCCTCACCGGCCTCAACTGCACTGTCTGCAGCACCTCTGTGGTGATCAGGGGCATGGGGGGCCTGGCTGGCTCCTCCTTGCTCACAGGTGGCCTGGGGGTATCCTGGGAGCAATCGAGCTGGCCAGAGGCTTTGTAAGAAGGCCTGGTGTCTCTCATGAAGTTGGGGTCCAGAGGTGGGGCAGGTGGGGGCTCTGAGGAGGGCAGGAATGGGGGAGGTGCTGGCAAGGGGGCCGAGGAACCTGGAAGGGGGCTCCGAGCTGAGGGGGGAGGCGAGTGAGTGGGGGAGCAGAAGGGAGCCAGGGCTTCTGGGGGCGGAGGGGGGAACATGGGAGAGTGAGGCAGAGGAGCGCCCTCGAAGCACTCTGCTGGAGGAGGAGGAAGAGGAAGAGCAGGAGACTTGTGGGCAGGATAAGGAGATGGCAGAGGAGGAAGAGGAGGAGGAGGAGCAAGGGGGGAGGCCACGGCGGCATCCAGCTTCTTCACCGTGCCACTTCCTTCTGTAGAAGTATTAGAGGAGAGAGAAGTGGATGAGGAGGACATGGACACCGAGGAGACCAGAGAGGACTTCCTCTCGGGCACCTTCGGCTTGGCTTTCCCCTTCCCATTGGCTGGCGACATGGACTTCAAGAACACAGGCACGGGGGTGAGTGCGGTGGGGGTATTGGACTGGCTGGAGTACCCACTGGATGGAGACGTGACTCTCTGCGCTTTCTCAGGTGATGTGATCTTTGGTTTGACCGAGCCATCACCAGGCACTTGGGGCATCGTGGCCCTGGGTCCCTCTTGGACGGGGCGCACAGGCCCGTTTCCACTTGGAGCCCCACTGTTGGTGGAGCATCCTCCTGCTGGGTGCCCCAAGTCTTCCTGCATGCTGGTGTAGTCGATATAGTAGCCCCACGGGTCCGTGTACTCCGACTTGACGCTGCTGGTGTCGCTCTGGGACGGAGTGACTCCACACAGGGAGTAGACGTTGGGGGTGGTGGCCGAGGTCATGCTGCTGCTGGCGCTGACTGTGCTCTGGCTCCGAGAGCGAGGCAGCCAGGGCTCCTCAAAGTCACTGCAGGGACTGTGTGAGGGTGAGCCGCTGCCCGCGCCCGGGAGGCTCAGCTGCAGGGAGTGCTGGAGCGTGGCGATCAGGCTCTCGTTGAGCACCTGCCCATTAGACTGGCCGCTCTTCTTGGGAGTCCTGCGGAGAGAGTCTGTTCGGGAGGGTGGCAAGGGAGGCTTCTTTGATTTCTTCAGAGAGATGTTTCTGGAAAGGGATTTATCAAGATAATGTGACCGGTCCCCTTGGCTTTTCTGAGCAGCTCTTCCATCAAACACATTGACCACGCTGTGCCTGGGGTTCCCGAAGCCCTCGCTGCTGTTGCACAGGTGCCCGGGCCTGCGTCCACTGTCGCTAGACAGAGCCCCGCAGTAGCCGTTGTGCTCCTCAGCATACAGGGAGCCAGCATCCTCCTTGATGGACGCTTGGTCCAGACTGCTGCTGCTCATGTTACTTGTGGGAGTAGAGTAGCCAGAGGTGGCCAGATGTGGCTTCAGAGGGGAGGCCCGCCCGTTGCTGGAGGCTGGGTACTCCCAGGGCTCCGAGCCGGCATGCCCGCGGTCCCCTGAGTAACTAGACTCCCTCTTGCCATCCACATCGTGGGGGTGCACTGGGAAGTTCAGGTGGTTGCTGCAGCTGCAGGGCATGGCTTGGGACCCGTTCTCCCGGTTTGCTGGGGCATTTAGAGAGACATCTGAACCGCCGTGGGACAGCAGCGCGGCACTGTGGGAAGGGGAGTCTGAGGCCTGTGGCGGGGTGGAGTGACTCTCATGCCAGCGGTGACCCGAAGGCTGGTGGTCATCTTTCGGAGCACGTCTGGACGTGGGTTTCATCTTCGAGTAGGAGGAGGAAAGGGTCATTCTACCGTCCAGCTGCCCGACGCTCAGAGCAGGATGAATAATGATAACCTCTGAGGATGACGAAAGGGTGGCATTGGGGATGATGCTGGTAGAGTAGGTGGCGTGAGGAGAGACCACACAGGCTGGGCTTGTTACGGCTTCAGTCTCCAAGTGCCTGGCCTCCTGGGATTTGGGCCTCAAAAGTGGTCCACTCCTCAAGCCGTCTCCTAAATGTCCAAAGTTTTCATCTCCTTGTGAGTTTCCCCTCTGGTAGAGAAAAGGACCATCCAGGTCTTCCTCAGGGCCTCCAGCCCCGAACCTTGCCTCCAGGGAATGGGTGCTGGCCCTGACTCCAGAGCGTGGAAGACTATGGAAGCCAGCATCACTGTGGAGGCGAGAAGGGCACACGATCCCTGCAGAGTCACTCAGCACAGACATGTTGCCAGAGGAGCCTGAGAAGTGGCTCATGTGGGCAGCGATGCCCAGCCCCTTGTGTGCCCTGATTCTTCTCATTGAAGGTGGAACAACTTTCACTTCCTCAGTCTGACAGCTGGTGTCCCTAGTTTCCAAGCGCTGCCCGGAGAACCGAGAGCTATCAAGCCTTCCTAATGTGGAGTAGTGGTCTGGGGTGTACAGTGAGTGACCCCCAACATCCTCTTGGCTAGTGCCAGATGCTGGAGATAAAGCAGAAAGAGGCTTGTTATCTGAAATTACAAAAGCACAGGTCATCACCGACACCCTCAGCCCCCTTCTGTCGCGGTTGCGACTTTTAAAAATAAAGCCTTCCTATGTGATTCAGTTTCATTCCTCCTGTACCTAGATGACACTTCCTAAAATAAAAACCCTTATTGTTGAGTATATGTACTTCTCTTCTAAATGTGTACTTCAGGGCCTCCCACAGCTTGCGTGTTGCTATGGAATTCTCAGGTACTCCTTCAAGATGGAGCCACTGTACTGAATGTTCTGTAGAGGGTTTACTTTACAGATAACCAATATTCAGCCGAGTTCCAAAGAACGTTTCCCCCCACCAGGTGATGGCTCAGAGCGTCCATCAGGATGGTCACTACCGTCTTTCCCTCCAAAATGAACGAACATAGTCATAGAACAATAGGCCCACAGAAATACCACTTAAATGCTATTGGCATAAAATGGTGTCGATTGCATTGATTCCTTAAGTCGAAGGAAATCCTAAGAGAAGGAAAATTGATTTACAGACCCATCTGTGTTCCAAATATTTCATTATCCATCTTAAGCTATTATCATCTGTCTGTTGGTGACATTCAAAATTCAACAGCAATCTGTTGTGCTCTGTGGGGGAGGGGGAAGGCAGGAACTGATCCAGGAAACACTCCTCAAATTAGGGTTATTCCTTTCTTGGCATTTTACAACCAAACAGAGAGGAGTATGTTAACAAGGAGAAAAGAAACATAGTGCAAGATAAAGAGAGAAGCAAATAGATGATTAAAAAAACTGTAAGTATAGATGTCAAGCCAACTAGCTAGAAAAGAGCTTAAAAAAAAAATCGTGAAGCCAAGAACTTACATCGTACTATGAAAATAAAACTAATCCTTAGGATACATTTTACAATAGTGTCAAAACCACGGTTCTTTTTTTTTTTTTTTCAGTCAGAAATTTGTATGAAGAATAGTAACCAAGGGGCTGGGAAGGTGGCTCAGTGGTAGAGTGTTTGCCTTGCATTCCTGAGGCCCTGGGTTCGATTCCTCAGCACCACATAAGCAAAAAGAAAAAAAAAAGCCGGAAGTGGCGCTGTTGCTCAAGTGGTAGAGCGCTAGCCTTGAGCTGAAGAGCTGAGGGACAGCGCCCAGGCCCAGAGTTCAGGCCCACGACCGGACCCCCCCAAAAAAAAGAATAGTAACCAAATATAATTATTTACCAACAAAATAATCCTATCTGATTCTAAAAGATGAAACATCAGGGTAGGCTGTTCAGATTCATTTCTAAGTCGGCTGAAATTTTTTTAAAATTCTGTCATCCTCATTTAAATGCCAAGGCAACAAAATGTAAATCATCAGACATGCACTGGAGGTGAACACTGAAGAAAGGGTGTCTGGCTCAAGCTTTGCCGAGCCATGCTGGCTGGGCAATTGTCTGTATTATTAGACACCTGCACAAAAACACTGGTAATGGTAGGACTTCTAAGAATTCCCTCTACCCACAAGATTAACCATCGATGACACACAGCCCCGATTGGATACATTCAACCCCTTTCTCAACATTAGCAAAAGGTATTACTAAAATGTTGGGCTTATATCAGTCTCAAAGATCTTTCCTTCAGGGGCTGGGAAGGTAGCTCAGCGGTAGAATGCATGCCTTGCAAGCATGAGGCCCTGGGTTTGATTCCTCAGCACCACATAAACAGAAAAAGCCAGAAGTGGCACTGTGGCTCCAGTGGTAGAGCGCTAGCCTTGAGCTGAAGAGATGAGGGACAGCACCCAGACCCAGAGTTCAGGCCCCATGTCCAGCCAAAAAAAAAAAAAAAATCTTTCCTTTACTATGCTGATGACAGTCATTTTTATATTTGTGTCTTTAGTAGTAAAGATGATCTATTTCTTCTACCATGTTGTCAGTGAATACACCAGACACACATACATGGCTCTCAGAAAGAGAGGAAGTATGTAAAAGGACAGGATCAGAAATATACATACACACACACACACACACACACACACACACACGTGCATGCGCGCACACACACATACAATTGGGAAACAAATTAGAAGGTAAAAATGTCTGCTGCTTGGTAACGTGGAAGGGAGGTTGGCTTATGTGGGTATATCTGGTTACATCTGCTCAATTTAAGGAATATCTCATTCTATCCAACAATAGACTTTTCAAAACTGTAGTTGTGGACTAGGGGGTGTAACTCAGTGGTAAGGGCATTGCCTGGCATGTGTGAGGCATTGGTATGTGCCCAAACACCACACATGGACACCACAAAACTGCAGTGTTTTTTGCACAAGGTTAGTGACTGGTTTTAAACTGTCACCGCTGAACTGTTTAAGCTGATACCTTGAGGTTTCAGTTTTTGGGGTAATAGTTTTGAGGATAAAATTATCCCTGGCTTTTGAAAACAGAAAGAAGGATTTCTCTACAATCTACAACTGAATATAACTTTCTTTTTTTTTAAAAAAAGGCTAACTAACTAATATATCCATTACAAAAAGGACCACCAAAATCCCATTTCCAAAATGAACCCTCCAGTATTTTGCAGTATTATTAAAAAAAAGTCACAAACTTACTGGACACAGGTAAATGCTATATTGATTAAACAGAGCAAACTAAAAAAGAGACTCTAAACAAATGTAGACACACCACTCAGGTACTATTTCTCTCATTCTGTCCACCTATCCTCCAACTAGCTATCTATTAAACTAGAGTTGTTGTCTGACTGTCTCTAACTGAGACAGTTTCCTCAATGGCCCTCTAACTGTTACCCGGGTGATGTCACTGCAATGTCACAAACGGTCTCATGTCTGGCAACACATGATGTGAGGAAAGCTATTTCCTTCTTCTAGTATTAGTGGGGGTTCCATGTCACATGTGGATGAACAGCGGTTCCAGGTACTTAATTGTCAATATTACAACATTAAAATTACAGAAGATAAGGCTTCCCTAGCTGGAAGATCAAAGAAGCAACTGAGTTGCTGGCTCTGATGGTTCAATAATAAAAGTAACAAAAAGTTCTTAACTTGCAGGTTTAAGGCTTCATATTAATTCGTTAATTGTGTATATTATATTGTGTATCTTTACCTGAGCCAAATATCCTAACACTCTACACAGAGGCAATCAGAATCTACTTCTTTTGGTTGGGAGAAAAGCTACTAAGATAATTTACATTAAGGCATCAACCTTGGAAGGCCTAATTGCCTCTCCTTAAAGTGACACCTTTTAGATTATGGTGCATCTCCTAAAAAGACCAGTTCTAGTATGAATGTTAACTGAGTACTTATGAAAATAGCCCATCAATTACTGACCATATGAGTACAGATTAGTTTCTCAAATGTGTTAGCTGTCACCTTAACAAAGAAAAAAAAGAAGAAGAGAGTTTGAAAGAAAGAGGCACAGCCAAACTTTGAGGAGGAAAAAGTATGCATGTACCATTAAGCTCAAGTTTAATGAAGGGGCCTACAGGGCTCAGGGAAGGATACCAAAGATGGGATTCACAAATTCCCTGATCTTCTGTTTCCTAATACAAGGCATTTAGCAGGGGTGTTGGGCTAAGAACAGACTAGACAGACTCAATAGCTATAAGCTGAAATGAACCCTTGGGGCATCACTATACTAGGGTAAGCTCATCATGACAAAAAGACCAGCAGGAAAGTTCCAAAATTATGACTGATTTCTAGAGTTTATCCTTCAATAGTAAACAAGTAAATTAAAACTTCAGCTGAAAGTAGAAAGTAAGAAATAAGACTATAGGTTGGTGACAGAGGCAAATCTTAAGATTGGTAGGGTCACATCACCCACCTTAACCACAGCAGTGATGTCAGATGTATTCTTAAGACTACAAAGAAGGTTCTATAAGTTCACCATTCCATTTGTGGGATGAGGAAGTAGATACAGAGAGGTAAGGTAACCTGCCCAGGGCCACCCAGAGAATGAGCGGCAAAGTCAGGGTTCAAACTTGAACAGTCTAGCTAAGTTGTCTCTGTGGATATTCCTGCTGGGCCCCACAAAACATAAGCAGAGGAAGTTATTACAGAAGAAGGAGAATCAGCTGAATGAGCACGAAAACAACAGGTAAGTGAACAGTGAGCTACATGACTGTCTCAATTTCTATTAAAAAAAAAAACTGTAGGTTTTTTGTTTTGATCCCAAGTTAAAAAATACTCAATTAAAACAAGCTATGAACTTGTTTCACTGTATGAAGGTATTATCCAACAAACATGACCACTTTCTATTTTATGGACACTTGCTATTAAGTAATTCCAGACAGCTAGGATGAGGTTTCAGTTCATGAAAGCTTAAGGTCAAAGTAAAAAATTAATTGTGGAGATGCCCAATGTTAAAGGTACCCAGAGATGTTGATGGAACCCTTAATTCCTATCACCCCATGTACAGTTTTCACAGGACTTCCTGCTTCCACCTTCTCTTGGAAAACACAGGAGAATCAACTACAGAAGTATAGGATCTGACCTTCATCAGGAAAGAGGCTGGCCATCAGAATGTATGAACTCACAAGCACATGGGGTTAGCTAGCAATGCCGAGTGGCAGAGAGGGCAACAGAATGCAATTCTGATGAGCCATACCTAGCTCCTTCTGTATGTTGTCAGGGATTCCTGTAATAGTCTTTCTCCTTTTGACTTTCTTCGGTCGTCTTACCAGAGTGTCTGTGTAAATTAGAGACCGCCGGAGGCTGGCCTGGCGATCGAAAGTCTCCCCTAATGTAGAGTAAGTAGAACAAGCAAAGCAATGTTATTTTTAAGCAAGCTGACACCATGCACTTTCTTCCAGAAGCTTGTTGTAAAATGAAAAGGAGATATTAATAATGATGTTAGCCAGTCATATGATGATGAACGCTGAAGGGCAAAAAAGGAAGGCCAAGCACATTATCACCAGAAGGCTGATTTCCAATTTCTGAGTGTGTGTCCTTCTGAAGGACGCAACTTGATCTCATTTTCAAATGAGCCGCAAAGGTGCTAATATCATACTAGAAGAGTAATTCCATCTCATTTAAGAAATGAAGTATGGAAATGTCACAGTGAAACCTCTTACTCTGTACAATTAATATGTGCTAATAAAAATGTTTCACTTAGGTCCTCTGGTCACTAAAAACCACTCCTTACAACATGTGGTTATGGTAATCAGATTCTATTCATCAGATCATCATACAGATGAATAAAATATAATGTTGTATGTGATGAAACCAAGAGTTGGAACTTTTACTTTTTCCCTTCTTTTTCTTCTTCAATCAAGGAGGCTGACCATTTGGATCAATTGGAAAATGTTTATGGTATGAGAGATGGCTGTAATGAGATATGTAGAGCCTTATGATGATAAAGTACTTTCACCACGGTGAGACCCAATAGCACTGCTGTAAAAGTTGAACTGCACCTCTCTGATTCATCATCTATTGGGGTGGGGGGGAAGGGGGAACTAGGACTAGAACCCAGAGCCTCCTGGTCACAATGTTGCAGTTGAACCCAGAATGTCACATGCCAAACTGGACACTTTGTATTTCTTCCTTTCTAGATATATGCCATGTTCTAGGTACTGGCAGAGGCTCACACCTGTAATCCTAGCTAGGAGGTGGAGAGCTAAGGATTATGACTTAAAGCCAACCTGGGAAGGAAAATGTGAGAGACTATTATCTTCAACTAATTATTAAAATGTCAGAAGTGGAGCTGTGGGCTCAAGTGGTTGAGTGCAACTTTGGCAGGGGAGGGGGCGGGGAGGAATCAGTGACAGCACCCAGATACTGAGTTCAAGCCCCAGGCCCAGCACCAAACAAACAAACATGGGAAACCATAAGAGAATACAGTTTGAAGCTGGGTGCCAGAAGGCTGAGATTTGAAAATTGAGGTTTGAAGCCAGACTGGGCAGGAAAAATCCAAGAAACTCTTATTTCTAATTAACCATCAAATAGCTGGAAATGGCGCTATGGCTCAAGTGCTAGAGGGCTAGCTTTGAGAACAAAAGCTCAGGGACAGTGTCCACATCCTGAGGAAGGAAGGAAGGAAGGAAGGAAGGAAGGAAGGAAGGAAGGAAGGAAGCAAGGAAGGAAGCAAGGAAGGAAGCAAGGAAGGAAGCAAGGAAGGAAGCAAGGAAGGAAGGAAGGAAGGAAGGAAGGAAGGGAGAGTTTTATAGCAGCATTAGTACTCATTTCAGCTGTTTTAAACTATTTGTCACTTTGACTAAAAGTAGTTTGACATCATGAACTATTTCCTATTATTATTCTACTCAAAAAGAGATTACAAATATATATATATTACAAAAATATATATATACACACGTGTATATATCACATTCTTCTGTTATTCCTGAGCATATGAAAAGTATATAAATTTTCACTCTTGTTTAGCAATACTGACACAAATTTAAAGTAGGTAGGTTGTAGACAATGTAATTATTATGTTAGAAATAAATGGTGAATAATGCCTAATCAAAACGAGATGATCAAATCATACATCATCTACTAAAAAAAAAGGAATAAATGCATGCAAACTTGCAAATTCTTGCAACTTTGTTCTGAATAAGAAAAGCAACCCAGAAACAATGGAGACAAGGGTCTGAAACCCCAGAAGGTCTTACTGCTGGGATGCACAGGTCATTTGTGTGCAACAGCATAAACCATGTGGGGAGAGGCCACAAGCGTGGCCAGTGGTCCACTAGCTTCCCGCAGCAGAAGAAAGGACATGCCTTGTATCAAGAAACTAAGAACAGACCAAACATTAATAGGAAAGTAAGCGCAACTTCAGTTTTACTTCCGAGATAAAAACCAAAGCCACCAAAGCTCTAAAAAGATTAGGAAACAAACGGTAAGAGGATGAATATCCATGATACACCATCAAAGGAACTCTCCATCTTCATCAGCTGCTGTGTTCTACATTTCTTGAGGAAGAGACCATGATTTGTGTACTGTGCCGTCCCCATCTTGTACTCATCTAATGCCTGGCACAAAGTCAATAAATATCTGTTGAATTCCATCACTCTCATTCACTGACAAATGGCATTAGCTAGCCATGTTTACTCTTCAGAAATAAACGTAGGCAGCTCAAACATCAGAACAAAGCCAGCTTGCAGAACTGTTTGGGTATGTTCAGTTTATGTATGTGCATGTAGCTTCCAGGTGAAAGAGCTGTGACCGGCACGGGGTCACCCCCTAATGGCAGATTATGAAACGTATTTATACGTTCCCTTTATTTTAAATAGTTTTCGCTCCCTCAGTGTTTAGAACATACCAGGTCTCCACAGGACTGTAACTAATGGGATTAAATCAATTTTCAGGCCAGTAGTTCATTGTGTTGAAGTTCCTATCTCTAGGCCTGGTGGGCTTCAGTCTGGATTTGAAGTTACAAAATCTGGGCTGGTTAAAGGAGAAGGGCACTCGTGGAGACAGACAATGCTACTTATAAATAAATTAAAACGTTGAGGTCATAATATGCCATGCATCCTATGAAACTAGGAAAACTGAAGGGTTGTGTAGGGAGAGAAGGGGGAGGATGATGAAAGGGGTAACACTGATCAAGATGCACTGTACTTGGAAACTGACAGGCTGAGTAAGCAATACCTTTGGTACAAGTAATTAAAGATAATTAAAATATAATTTTTAATGCCATCTGGTTTTTTTCACACTTAAGTAAAATAAATGTGAAAAAAGGTTTTGGAATTGAGAACAACTGATGTACTTATTTATTAAATTTCCATTTAAAATGTATTTTAAGAGCCTATGAAAATCTTCAAAACTATCATATACACATACATACACATATATGTATGTGATATGTGTGTTGTGTGTGTTGTATGTGTATGTTTGTGTGTGTGTGTGTGTGCGTGTGCGTGTGTATCTGGGGGAGGGGCAATACTGGGATTACTCAGGGCTTTAGTCTTCCCAGGCAGGTATTCTACCACTTGAGCCACATTTCTAGCCCTTCTTGCTTTAGTTGTTTCTGTGATAGGGTCTCATATTTTTTTCCCAGGCTGGCCTACACCACAATCTTCCTATTTATGCTTCCTGCATAAGCTAGTATAACAGTCACATTGTGCCACCAAGTCCTGCTACAGGTCCAAGGGGGAATTGGCTAACTTTCTTCCCCTCTCCACCTCTCAAGCAGCTGGAATTATAGGTGCTGCAATTCCCTATAAGAAGCTACATTTTTATCTCAAAACATCTTCTACAACTTTAGAAATATACCACTTAAAAAAGCAGGAAGCTGTATAGCCTACATTAATCCATTCATCAAAAAAAACCATTTTAGATTTCTTGATCTTCATTCAGATTAAGAAAAGCTATGAAATAGGAATATATATGTTTATGTGAATACACAGATCCAGAAAACCCATCAGTAATTTTGCATTCCTGAAAAATGTTAATGACTCAATTAAAAATAAATGGCATTTTGATTCAGCTCACATTGTTCATTTCATTATTGTCATTTGCCTTTCCTGGTGGCATTTAAAGGCCTTCTTTAAACGCCCTGTAATTCATATCCATTTAGACCTCAAATGACAGCACATTAACGCTTAGAGACATGACACTGTCCTTGTAACAATGCATTTCACTGCAAATGACTCTATTCCTAAAACTCTACTTACTTTGTTTTTAATCTCCTAATCTCAAAACAACGTGCTTCACTCCTAATTCCATTAGGGATTGTCATACTATATGCCATAATCTCCTTATCTTATTATTTTGAAGCTTTTAATCAGGTATAAATGTTTCTATTGCATTTAATCAATCAAATAATATAATCCAATTTCTTATAGAAAAACATGTGCTCATGTAGTTAACCAAGCAGTAAACACTATACTTTGTTCTGAAACACAGCTTATAAAAATAAACACTTAAGAATATGCACTAAAGAGAAGCATACTCATGGAGACCAACAATGCTGTGTACAATGAATATGGATGAAAATAAAAATGCCATCTGTTTCTTTCGGGGTTCAGTAAAATAAATGTAAAAAATGTATACAGAACTGAAAATAATTCATACATTTATTACATTTCCATAGAAATCAAGAGCTTTAAATATAATTTTTAATATTCTGAAAGGTTAAAAGCATGCAAATGTTATCACTCCTTACATGCTACCAAAGACAGCATCAAGCTCCCCAGCATAGCAGCCTCAGGACACAGCCAGGCAGCCAGGGGTTTTATTCCAATTGCTAACGAAAGTTTTCAGTCAGTCTACTCTTACCTTGCATGGCCTGATTATCAGTGATGGCACTAGTCACCTATTTATATAGGCGATTATATTTCTATATAATAACAGGCCAATGGCTGAAATGATGAGCTCTTTGAGGATAAGGGAATTGAATCCAGGGTTGTGTACATGGTAGGCAGGCTTTAGCCCCCAGGAACTTTTAACATTCCTGTTTTGCATTCTGTACTTTTCCTGAACGACTGACCAATTCTTTTTGCAGGCTCCAGGGAGAAGTTTTGATTAATTTTTCCCCCCTGGTCATGGGGTTTGAACTTAGGGTCTGGGTGCTTTCCCTGAGCTCCTTTTTGCTCAAGGATACTCATACTCTATCACTTGAGCTACAGCTCCATTTCCAGATTTTAGTGGTTAATTGGAGGAGTGTCAGAGACTTTCCTGCCTGGGCTGGCTTTAAACTGTAATCCTCAGATCTTAGCCTCCCAAGTAGCTAGCCACTGGTGCCCAGCTTGATAAGCTTTTTTAACATTTCTTCTAAGTTTGTGAAAGATAATCTTGGAAATTTATGTACATTCTTATTTGTTTCCTTGACTACCACAAATGATTCAAGGCACAAATGATTAAATATTCCAGATTTCTAATTTCATGTAATTCTAAAAACTGCTTATTCAGCAGGAATAGATTTTTATTTGAAGATTGGAGTTCAAATTACAGAAATCCAAATATCATTTTGTCAGCAAATGAGAGGAGTAGTCTTTGGTTCAAACTCAGGGATTCACATTTGTTAGGCAGGTGCTCTATCACTTGAGCCAGGCCTCTAGTCCTTAAAATATATTTCTATACTTTTGTTTTGTTGGTCAGTCATAGGGCTTGAACTCTGGGCCTGGGCATTGTCCCTCAGCTCTTCAGCTTAAGCAAGTGCTCTACCACCTGAGCCACAACACCACTTCCAGTTTTCTGGTGGTTAATTAGAGATAACAGTCTCACAGACATTCCTGCTCAGGCTGGCTCAGGCTGACTCTCAGATATGTCTCCTGAGTAGCTAGGTTTACAGGCATGAGCCACCAGCTATAGTTGTTAACTTACTTAGTAATTTCATTCTATTTCCCCCTTTTATCTACTTGAAAGGTTAAAAAAAACTACCAGAAACATTACAAAATAATTCTTTCTTCACTCTAGAAAATAAAATTAAAGTCACCCCGTGGAAGGAAATATATAATAACTTGTTTTTACACAGGACCACATTTATAAGATGCTCCTATTGCACAAAAATCTTATGAAAAAGCCACTCAACTTAGAAAGATACCCTTTCCATGACACCCAACTTTGGTGACATAGTCTATTCACCTAACAAGCAACAGATACTTTATGTGCACACACATCTGTAATAATAGCATTCCCTGCACTAAACTGAGATCAGGAAGCCAAACCAGAGACATTCATTCTGCTGTATAAATAAAATGCTAAGCCACTCTCTATAGGTCATCCTGACTGTGCCCAGCAAAGCATACCAGTTATGTTAATGGGAACCACATCAGCCTGGACCGTTTGGGCTTGCTGTCGCATCTTCTCCTCTGGAGTTGGCAGTGGCAGTGACTTGGTCCAGTTCGTCTGAGTATTAAGGTCAGAAAAGTCACCTGAGGTTGGCGTTTTGGGTCTCCTGATGCCAATAAGTCTCTCCTCTTCTGATGAAGAGAGAGAACACTGCAGAGAAAGAAGAAGTCACACTGTTTAAAGAACTGACAGGGCCAGCTAAAAATATTTTTTAGCTTAAAAAAAATTAGACCCATTGTAAAGGAAGCCACAAGACAGCTCACATTTCAGAGAAGAAGGAATGACTGACGGAGGCAGACTGTGTGTCTATCCTCTTGCACATGACTCTCAATATATGATTTACCCTGGCCTGGGGCTGTAAACTAAGGATGGTTGATGGTTTTGCTGACCCACAAAATGTTTTCAGCTCTTCTCATCTTCCCTATCTTTACCATGGTCAGGAAGGTCATGGATTTTGTTTAACATTAGAAACTGAGACAACTTCATAGCTGTAGCCACCAGTTTCCATTTTTATTAAAATGGAGTCTTGCTTAAAGTCATTTCTAGCTTCAATCTTATTTCCTGTAGCCTCTGACCTCAAGAAACATTTCAAACTGGCAGGGCTATTGTTCAACGACTCGAGCTCTTCTCAAACCATCTATATGGAAAAAAAAATCAGTGTGAAATTGTTAAATTATAAGCAGCTGACAAAGGCTGTGCTCTGAGCCTTATCAGAATTCCATGAAAATATTTCTAGCTGTGTCTGGTTTGATACAGATTAACATCCTCACTGAAGAGCCTTTCTCCAATATCTGTCTTCCCACAACACCTTCAACAGTGTCAGCAAGAAACCGCGTTAGCAAGCATTTTATGAAGGACTTGACCACAGCCCCATGGCAGACAGTTCTGTGCCGAGGAAGTTCCAGGACCTCAAAATAAATGCAGCGTGCACAGGAACAACAAAAAATTAGCCATTGGTTTTGGGAGGGAATTAGATTATTATATATAGTAAACGTGTACCAAGTGTGCTTCAAGTCCAAAACAAGGCATTTGGGAATTTTACTTTAAATTAGTCTCAGGTCATCGAACCTCCTACAGAACACACTGTAATAAACACGGAGGCCAATTCAACCCCTCCCAGCACCCTCCAAGCAGCAAGGGTAACTCTGCAGACTCCTCAGCACAGCTTTGTTCTACCTGCATGTGAACTTCCTGCGAAAGGAATCACTGCTGTCTATCCTCTTTGGTGACTTATTTATGGTTGTAAAGATCTACCCACCCATCGGTCTATCATCTATCTTTTCTTTTGGTGCTGGAACTAGGACTTACACTCACGCAGGGACTCTCTATCATTTGTGACATGTTTCCAGTATGGCATTTTTTGCTATTTAAGAGAGAAGTCTCTTGAATTTGTCTGTTTGGGTTGGCTTCAAGCCATGATCCTCTGGCCTCAGCCTCCTGAGTAGCTAGAATTATGAATGTGAGCCATAGGCGCTCGGCCTTATCCATCTTTGAAAGGTATATTTGGATACCTTTCTGAACTTAATGCAAAGTTCTAAAGGGATGGAGTGAAGAAATAAAAACTTATCCTTCTGTGAGAAAGAGTGTCTGTATTTGTTCTAATGCTAGAAGCTCTATAAATAGGAAAAGACTACAAGGAACAGGCTCCACACTAAGAATCCATAGATATAAGCTGATTGTGAAATATGTGAACTTTCTCTTGCTGTAAAGTGAGGTCTCACTGACTACCTTCTGCACCTGCAGAGGTTCCTGCAGGACTCAGTGAGATGGTAGATGTACAACTGTTAAATACCATGGCTATGAAAGTGGTGTTCACATAAGCATGACTTTAGGAAAGCAAAATCCCATGAAATTGTCTACTACTCCTTTTCCTTTTACTAAAAGATTAATGACAGCTGGCCACCGATAGCTCACAGCTGTAATCCTAGCTACTTAGAAGGCTGAAATATGAGGATCAGGGTTCAAAACTAGCCCGGGCAGGAAAGTCCTTGAGTCTCCTATCTCCAAGTAACCACCTAAAAGCCAGAAATGGAACTGTGGCTCAAGTGGTAGAGTGCTAGCCTTGAGCAAAAGCAGCTCAGGGACAGCTCCCAGGCCCTGAGTTCAAGCCCTAGGACAGGTGTATGTGTGCACCTCCCCCCAACACACAAAAGATGAACAGTAACAAAAGCACTGTGGAAATAAAAATATGAATAATATAGTTTTTTAAATTTTAGTTTTGTAATTGTAACCCATAAAACACCTAGGAAAATGTGAAATGTTTAGAATTTAACTGACAAGTACACTCAACTTATACACTAAGCATATGTTACTGATGTCTTATGATGCTGATTTGCACCCCATCCCTTCATACTGATCTGGTTCAGTATGAAAATGGTGCACACCCTTCTGTGATAACTAAGGCATGTTTGAGACAGCAGGAACTCAGCCACACTGGTGTAACCTGACCATTTGCAGCCATATGGCACTCTTGTTAAGTCTGACTTACAATATGCATTCTCTACAAGCACATGCACACACAAATTAAAAATGTCTAACGTTGACTCTCAATATAAGTAAACTAGAATGTTACTCTACTTTTCTGATATATACACAGAAGTAATTTTTAGGCAATCTTGAAGTACATCAAAAAAATTGAAGGCAGTGATTAGCAAGTCCTAGCCAACAGGCTTAGAAGAAAGAGTGGAGCTCGAGGCTGACACAATGGATAGACACAGGACTGAACAACTGCCTCCTGCAGCAAGGGCTCTTTGTCCATGTGACACAGACAAGGGATGGTGTGACACACAGCTTCACTGCTAGTTGGCATCTCCATGGGTCTCGGCAGCCCCAGTGACCCACTTGGCTTTCAGCTGGCTGGTGTCTGGAGTGGACAGTACTCACAATGAAGCAGCACCTGCCTGCAATCTGGCTGCCATGAGGTGATCACCATCGACAAAGAAGATCAATTTTATACAATGCTCCTTCCTCTTGAAAGAACATTTCCCAGGCAAGTCATCTGTACTACCACAGTCTATGAACAAGAATGCCAGGATGGATGACTCAGAACCATACGACTCCCACTACCTCTGCTGCTTGGGAATGGGGTGCAGATGCAGCAGGTTTGGAGGGTACAGTCTATGATCAGCTCCATTGTGATGTATTATGGACAGGCCCATTAGTATTCCTCTTAAATCACTCTTTATGATGCCTTAGAACATTTGTATGTGCTAACACACACACACACACACACACACACACACACACACACAAATTCTTCCTCTTGATATCCACCCAAATATAAAGAATTCATGTTCTTTAGATGTTTACTCAAGTCCTCTTCTTGTTAACATCTTACGGTTTATCCTATGCAAGTTCTGCTTCTCTCCTATATCTTATGCCCTGTTCTCTTCAGTAAGTACCATTCACACGCATGTGTATGCATTTCCTTCATCTGTTTGTCTTTCACAAGTGACTGTAAATTTCATGAGGCCTTAAGTCAGAATTACACTTAAAGCTGTTTCAGAATTTCAGCTCTAGAAGAGGTCCCATTTAGTAAATGAACACTCTATACCTTGTCCTGGATTACAGGTTTCATAGGAATGAGCTGATATAACCCTCACAGTGTTACCTTTGTTTGATAAAGAAGGAACTGGAGGCTTAGCAGAGGAAAGACCCTGCCTCTGAACGTTTGTGAGTAGGAAGCTAGGATTAGAATCCAGAAGTGACACCTAAGTCTCTGCTGCAAGGCAGGGTAGGCAACTACTTGATAATATTTTTGATTACCAGGTCTTCTGGTCTAGCAATACAATCTCCTTTTGTATCTCTAAGTAAGAATAAAACCTTTTAAAAAAATCCATGATCAGCAGAAGAGTAGTGAGATGGATGGATGGTGAGATGGACAAAAATTTAGCACTGTCTCACTTGGTAGCTGTCACTTCCCAACTGTGTCTAAGCAGCTCCACCTCCCTGAGTTCAAACCCCAATTCTGCCAAAGAAGAATAAAAGCTATGTGACTCTAAGCACAAATGACCCAATTTCTCTAACCCAGTTTCCTCATCCATGTTATAGGCGTAATCAAAGCTGAGCAAGGTGCTGAGCATGGTCTCTTGGTGCTGAGACTTCTCCTGTGCCAGGTTCTTAGTTTCAGGCAAGAAATACAGAGGTCTAGGACACAAGGACACTTTCTTCTCATCCAAAAGAGAGGACAGAAGAGAACGGAGCCCATTTACTGTGTAACAGATGTGTACAGGAGACACTGATAGCAAGTCACTGTACAGACGTTCTCCTTGCTTTGCCTGAGTAGTGGCCTGGGCATGAGAGACTTCAATTTTCTCATCCTTATCTGCAATGAGACAGAGTAACAAGGTACCACAAATTACAGCTTAGTGCTCACACAGAGCCAGCAATGACCTGTTCAGACCTCCACTATGTCCTGGACTTTCGCACATGAACAGGCCCACTAACACATGATTACCTTCACCGTCATCATTCCTAGCCTGGGTGGGGACTGTATCTACACACTGAGATTAAGTAGTGCCCACTTGGTCTTTCTGGTGAAAAAAGATTGAATATATGTCAGACAAACCAAAGATGGAATGAAAGACAACAAAGGCAGTCAACAATGGTGAAGGAATTTGGAGAATCTGGCAACCTTGTCCATTTATTTAACCAACTTGATACATGAAGAAGAGCAAAGAAAGAAAAGAAAACCCAAGGAGCACTGTATTCCTTCCTTCCTGATGCTGTCATTTAGATCTGTGATTCCCAGAAAGTAAATTCATATTCCTGGGCACCAACTATTATAGTATCTATTTCATGGAGGATTCCTGTGGAAAGTGATAGGTGGATTTGTGGAAAGTCCTGAGAATATTCTAAAGTGTTTTACTATTGTAAAATTAGCAAACAATGGTATGATCACTGATAGAAACTCTATGTAGAGATGACCCATGAAGCACTGACGATCAGACAAATTTTAGCAGTTGCTGAAACTTCTGAAACCCATTGCTTTGGGTAGGAAATTCTGTGTGGGTAGATTGGGAGAGTTGCCAAGTTTTCATAAAAACAGACATTGTCTATTGTGCCATTTTCTTTGATGTCTGGCTGGAAAACCCAAGCATTTTTAATAAAACTCCCCCTCATCATCTGAGCATGTTCCGTGCCACAGGCAG